GATGTTTCAGTACATTACATCGTATTATAATATTTAATTAAGCAAAGACAAGCAATTATTTTAAATTGTATGTGCAGTGTGTCAATGTAATTGATATTTTAAAAAAAAGTGAAGGTGTGAATCGGATTCAACTAATTCGGGGCATGATCCAATTATGGGATTTTGTGTACACGGTAATTAACTTTCAAGTTCCATAAAGCAAGCAGTTTTTGTTATTAAATAATTAACAATAAACTTTTTAAGGAATAACTGTCCCTATGGAGTTGGTTAATGATTCCCCCCCATCCCACATTTTCCCATAAATGAATTCCTGGACATGCCACTAATTTCCAGGCGTAAGAAATAAGCAACTACTTCACAGTCCTAGAATCGACAGACACGACTGGACACCCCTTTGCATTATTACAACACGTAGACATTTTGGAGAGGGCAATTTCACAACTTCGTTCTGTTTACTCCTAATGGCGAACGTCACGTCATTTAGACTGTTTCTGCAGTCCATAAGCGACAACATAATGTTCTGTTTCACGACGGATCACCATTTTGTGAATCTTTACAGCTGACCTCGAGATATTCTGTTCTGGATTCGTGCAGAGCTACTCTGACCTTAAACAATGGAAGCGTGGAACGCTTGATAAAAGCGAGGAGTGAAGCAGCTTCAAAGGACAAAACACACAGCATCCTACAGCACTACAGAGGCGCTTCTGTTCAACGATGCTCAGGACAGACAGGGAACCGTCGCCAGATAAGGTTGGTTATTTTTATTATTATTATTAGTGTTCTGTCTGACGACAGGTCCATATGAACAGGATCCTTCCATCCTTTTCTCGGACTGGGACCTGTTCATATACGTTCTTGGCAGATGATCCAGAAGTGGTTTGCCATTGCCTTCTTCTGTGTGTGAATGGGATGCCACGGAGAAACCGGGGAAGCCCCCGGAGGAAAACTCCGTGTTGCCTAGACAACGGCCTTGCCCAACACAAGTTATAAATTCGGGCACCGCCGGGAATCGAACCCGAGACCCCCAGGATTACAAGGTCAGCGTTCTAACTCTTCTGATAATGATCTATGATAAACAGATATTCAGATCCCATAAACTTTCATTTTATATTTAATGTTGTCCATGATATGCATTCGATATCTTGATTGTTGGGTTGTGTTTCGAGGACCGGATCTGTCCTCGTCTTCAGGTGTGGTAAAGGGGAAAGGCATCTACTCTGTGGTGTCCGTTAGAATTATCTAATCTCAATCACTGGTCCTTCAGCACACTGAAGACGAGGAAAGATCCAATCCTCGAAACGTTGTGTAATTTTAAATATCAGACGATAGACTTAGTCCAATTCAATTCAGACTGTATTATACCAACGTCAGAACCCTTCAGAACAGACTAGATATCTCGTCAAAATTTAATTACTTTTTCAGAATGTCAGTAAAAAAAACTTCCACCGACATATTTGAACAGAAAAAGATAAATGTTCACCGATATGTTGAAACTGAAATTGCGTGTTACCATGGAAATAAGGCAACAGAAGATGATTTGAATAAATATTCAGCATAGAAAGGGTAGAAATAGGCTTTCATGTATGCACTTACGACATTTATTACAAGTCTTCAGCTAAAAGGATAATTACAAATAACAAATCTTTTCATCGTTAACTGCACAGTGAATTTCAGGAATAATTACAAGACTGTTGTTAAAGTTAAGTTTCAAATTCTGAATCGACAACAATACATATCATAACACTAACGATTTCACCTCTACCAATTAAATGTTAGATTGTCATTTATCAATATAAATATTCATTGGAAATAAAAAAAACACGTGCTAAGGTCCAAATATACGTTTAACGCTTTCTGATTATATTTTTTTGGAAAATACTTTCATCATATCCGTTTATTAATATCAGATTAATGTAATCAGACAGACATTTCTACGTTTCCGAGCAAAACAAATCTTTAAATTAACGAAAATGAACTGTTGAAACATACTCTTAAAGCTACAAGCAAAGTCGTGTCTTAACCAGGGGGTGGGTAAGTGCATTTTAAGTCTGGGGGCCGGATGGAACTAAGTGCCCTGTTTCGAAGTCACAGCGGGCCAGAGTCTCCCGTCCATTTCGTATCTCTTCCTAGCATTCTACATTCCATTTTATAAGCAGTTTGGGGGTTGGGTGAGGAGCTAATAACTCTTCAGAGTAAAAGACTAGCATTTTAGACAATGTTACGCAGTCTCCAGTTGTAACAACGCACAGAAAATGAAAAAAAGGTGTGAAGGCGTGTGTGTGTGTGTGAGACCAGATCGGGATGGGATCCAGCAGTGTTGATGATACAGCGAACACGACCATGATCTTTGGGGGCAGCTGCACAGATAACCGGGCATTAATTACACCACAAGCCAGCCTTTCCTCAAGAATTAAGAAAAATAGTACAAAAAATTAAAATGTTTTCCAAGAAAAACCGTCCGTATCTGAATAACAGACATGTTTCAAAATAAGATTACGCTTAAATTGAGTGTTCTGGTTTTCGCGGCGACGAGTATGAAGATGTCTGTCTTCCGGGTTGTGCTCGCCGTGTAGTCTGGTATATCAGGGCGATGGTGGAGGTAGCAAGCATCTCTGAAACGTCGGTAAACTACTACCAGACTACACGGCGCAATAATCTAAAGACAGCCATCTTCACATACAGGTTGTTTGTTGAAGCTGGAGCTCAAACTCATTCCCTTCCACCACAACAGAACGAATGTGGCAACATGCAGCCTTCCCCATCATCTCTTATCAGACAGCAGATAGCAGAGAGCACAAAAACAGCGCATTTTATTTGTATTTTTAGACCAAAGCATCTTCATGTATTTAGTTAGATCGAAAATTGTCCTAATCCCCTCCTATAACTGAAGCAATATCTGAGACGGTTACCTCAGTCACGGAAGAACATGATGGAACGTAAATAAACGCGACTGGAAACTCGTAGGCCTACTCTTTGGAGGACACTGACATTCCAAAGTCCTTCCTCAGGCCACATCACGTCCGTCAATGTTTCACTAAAGCCATCCGAGGTCAATGTTGCGCAAGAATGAGTTCCAGCAATGACTACGATTCCCAACTATTCGCAACTATTACCCTGGGCATGCGGGTTGCCTACCTCATAGGAAAGAAAGCTATAGATGGACAGACAGGCGTTCTTCGCTGACGCTGAGCGCGAACACCTACCGACACTTGCTAAATGATGTTCTTAACAGCGTAAAAACAGTTCCACAGAGAGAAACACATTATATTTCCACACACAATAATCAGTTCATATTCGTTTACGTCGTCAGTTAAACCGGCTAATGCCTAGACTTCTCAGTAGCGACTCAAATATTCCCTTGTAGTGCGTGTTCGCTTTTGAATTTAAGATCCCCGAATCAAATCCAAGAGAAGACTCAATGTTTACGCTAGACAGGAACCAAGTCTTGGTTTGTGGGTTATTTAACAACAGCATCTTGTCGATTGATAATGGAAGGTGAAGAAATGTAAGTACGTAATCAGAAATAAGTGACGGTAACCCGGCAATCGCTTGGCGAGACTGAGAAAACCACGAAAAATCTCATCTGGCATATCAGAAATCCCGGGTGACGAGATTCAGTCCGGGAATCGTACAAAACACAAATCTACAGAGGTGATCACTTACCTAGCGAGTTCCAAACGAAATTACCAAGTTTTATAAAACTATGCAGAAATCCACGTTGTCACATCTAATGAAATGCGTGGCAATGGCAATGATTATTAGAGGCTGGAGTGAATAACGAGTTTCCGTGGAATAATTTTCTCCCCTGGGGCGTAGGGGAGGCCAAGACGAGGAACTGAACAAACAAAAGTATTTCTGTTAGTTGTCAGAACCAAACACCAAGCCTGGCCAACTTGTTGACTGAGCTATCCGAGTTACTAAAAGAAACAGTGGCAATATCGACTTTTCCTATCGTTTTTGTTTCATGATCAATTATATCTACGGTATAGACTTTTTATTGAAAAACTGATAGTTACTGGCCTTATCCAGAAATTCATCGACTTTACGGAAACCAAAAGGTTCATAAAGTTCCACCACTGGTTGTCTGGAGCCAGAAGAATTATAAAGTCACAGACTCTCAGGGCCGTCCCCAGAGGGTTCAATCCCCCAGCCCCTTCATATTTCTAGGTGCACAGCAAATAAATAAATAAATAAGTTAATTAATTAAAAAGCAATAGAAAAAAGAAAGTTTTTGTCTTTTCCGAATAAAACTGTTAATGCAATTCTTATCAACCCCTGATTGCACTCTTAGTCCAAACCCACCTTTCCCCAAATTTTTGTTACCGAAAGAGAAGAAATTGTATAGTTCGACATGTATTTGTTTTTATCATACTGTTGTTTTGACTTTATTAATTTTAAATTCTCTTCTAACTACCCTATTCTCAAACACCCCCTGTCGATAAGACACCACCGACTTTAAGTCACACATAAAAACTAAGAAAACGATTCCATGGAACAAAGTTCTTGAAAAAACTTTTAATCGCATTGAATGTGTGTATATACAGTTTTCGGTCACATTTTATTTTCGCAAAAACAAAAGACACATACTGTATCAAGGTTAACTTTAATGATAACCTTTTTTTGTAATGATAATGAAGGGTGCAAACTTTTCAAAACCCTGAAAGGAAAACCACTGATAACATTAAGGTCAATTAATGGTATTTCTAGTCATAGATTATAGCAGCCATTTCTACACCGCTTCGCAATGTCAGTGTAAGTAACACACAAGGTTACAAGATCAAATAGAAAATCAATCATAAGGGTGATAACACACACTTGCGTAGTAGCAGCAATTACACGCGTACCATTAACAAAAACAACATATTTGCCAACTATGAAGTCTGACGAGCGCAATTTCTGTGAATAGATATTCACAGATTCCCAAGGCTACGTATCAGTAAGGCGAAAATATTTATAAACATAAATTTGTAATCTCTATCGTGTACGTAAACAGAAGAAATTATTTATTAAACCCTGATTTTGCAATAAATATAATTCGGTATGGCAGATATTAAAGTTTCGCGCAAATTCTAATTAAAAGACGATTTACATGGCACCGATGACTGGGGATAGCTCATTCTAACGGACCAAAATGAGTACGTACTCCCCACATCCTTTTCGCCTGACGACGGAAACGAAATCCAAGTTCCGAAATGCATTTTTTTTTCAAAGTACCAGGCGATGGACAAAACCCACCTGCAAAGACCACAATTAACCGGAATTCGCCTGTGGCTTAAACATCTGACGTAATACACACGTATAGTTACACGAGATAACCTAGCAGCTGAGGAGAATGGAAAGGCCCATCAGCATCCGAAGAATATTTTCCCTCATTTCCAATGACAAGAAACTGATGAAACAGAAACAAGTGGTAGGGAGAACTGGAACGCCCATGACAGAGAAATGCGTCACTACACGCAGTGTACTGATAATATATAAAACTGGGTAACAAAGACAACCAGCAAGGCTACTGCGACATTGTTTAGGTAAACTGTATTGCCAGCATGGTCGTATCAGAAGTTTCTCCAGTTCCGACAAGTTCTCCTGTGAAAGATGTAAGTATTCTGATCACTGTATTGTTGCTTCAATGCTGTAATGCGATAGCATAAGCAGGCTTCTTTTTATTCCAAACAATTAATGTTATAAATGACGGTTTTTTTCCGGATACTGCAATAATACAGAAAAAACCATGGACAAACATTCAAAAATATACGACGGCAATCATTATGCAGTTAAGGTCACTTATAAATTGGAAGGCATCTGTCATTTCCCGGGCTCCCGGCAGAAACTGCAAAGTTCTAACAGTAAACGCCTCTTAAAATTATCCATCAATGCAACTGTGTCTAATATCATGTTTCGCACTGGTTACTGCCATCTATTTGGCTGTGGTCAGACATGCGTGTTTCTCTGTACGAATCGTATGTGAAATGTGGTTTCGTCCGTCAGTCCACACGTTTAATTTCTAAAGCTACCCAACGAACATCAACGGTATTTGGTACCAGGAGCTTTTTACTGGCATTTGTTCAATGAAATCACCGTGGTTCATAATCTCTCCTTTACATGAAGCACGAATTAAAGTACTGAGATTTTACTAAGTGAAATTTTCACCGCGATGTAAGAATAGATGATGATCTTCTGGGTTCCTGCGCCACGTAGCCTTTTGACTGTGTACCAACGTTTTGGAAGGACATTTTATCTCCGTCTTCAGCTCTAAAGATGGATGTAAACATTACGCCCCGCCAAAACGTTGCAGACTACACGACACAACAACCCAGAATACCGCCATCTGTATTAAAATTCTCAGCAACGCCTAATGAAACACAAATAAAGAAATTGTGCACAATACAAAATAATGATTTAATTAAAACTCTCACAAGAAATACAGCCACAGTTGGCATAAAGCAATAAGTTTTATTGTTTTTATTAAATAGCTCTTGAAGTGAATCACTTTTTTTTTACAGCCCATCCTGATGGACGGTGGGAACTACATCAAAGAGGGTCGAGATTCTACTAAGAGCACGTGTCTCATATTCTCACCAAATGAGGAGGCTGTTGGAGCACTTGCTAAATCCCTCAAATTGTTTGAGGTACAGTATGGTCAAAGTTATGATTTTCAAAGTCATAAGTAGATGGAACACCCAAACCATATGGGCGCAATAGTTTTATCCTTTCCGGACCATCTTACTTTTATTCACTGTAATATAAAGTGGGGAGTAATATTCCCATTGAAATCTTATGGCAATCCTGAATGGAAAGTATAGCTCTCATTTCATACAACAGAATGTTTTTCACATTAAGGTTCACACAGTAGAGATAATGCGTGCGGAAAAATGAGATGCAACGCAAATGTCTCGACAACTATAAAAGGTTTAAGTTAGTTGACAGTTAAAACTTGTCAAGATTCATAATAAAGTGACATCAAGTTGGATTTCTGTGTTCTTCAGAAGCATGGGGTGAATCTGTTACACATTGAATCAAGGCCATCGGTACGGTTTCCAAACAGATATGAGTTTATGGTGGACTGTGCTCCATCAAACGAATTAGGCATCGCTATCGAGACTCTCCGTGAAAATTCTTCATATTTCAATATCATCTCACGCAACCACAAGGACAACAGAGGTGAGTCGTCAAAATACTTTACATCGCAATGTTTAGATGAGAAGACTAGTTCTGGTGTTACTACAGTTTCTTAAGTTTCTTTGAAATCAGTTCACTTGTTCATGGAAACTTAGGCATAGGCCTGTGTATCTTTTCCTTTTGGAACTTAGGTATGTCCTTTTAAGGATCCTATCTTCCATGAACGTACTGTCTTGAACTTAACCGCTTATTCCACTACCCTGCAGGGGGTTAGGAGGATGGGGGCATAAAGCTGACCTCTCACCTACATTCAGTGCCAAGGTTAAGAATAAATGGAGCCATACATAAACACCCCCATGTGTTTACATAATACTTTCATTTTACCAAATATGGAGGAGTGGTTTTGAATAAATGTCATTGGCAAATGTAATGTCCAGTTAGAGTGAGTCTAAATAAGTAGTAACATTGTCCCTCTGGCAGATAAATGTGTGGTGGGAAATTTGTCTGCAAGCCTTGAGGAGGCAGCCCCCTTCCAGACTATCCAACATCTGGAAACTTTATTTGTAGTGGTTTAGAAGAGCATGAGATGAACAACGATGTTAACAATTTTAACAAATATACTGTGCGGTAATGCTGTGCATCTCTTAAAGCCCAGCAGTGGTGAAGATGTCTACGTGTTTGTTAGGTAATTGTTTTACTTTAGAATATTCTTCACTAAATTAACATCTGATATGTGTTTTACCTGTAAAATTATATTTTCTAAATTTGAAGGAACTAAAATGGTCATGATAAAGAAAATCTCTGAAAGAAATGTCCGTAGTGAGTTTAAGTTCAGACACAAGTCATGGCGGATATTTTCATAAATTTATTAATTACTGGCCGATGTGATATTTACTTGTGAATCTCTAGTATGTATCTAAAAATATAAATATCTCTTGAATATGTGCCAAAAAAGATAAAGCATACTTCAGCTTTCAGCATAATTTAACTGTGTTATGACATCCTTTTCTAAAATAACTTATTTTTATATCAAATATAGGCCAGATATAGTAAATATTTTCACAAAATTATCCTTTTCTTAGTTAATTTAAGAGGGATAGCTCAGTCAGTATAGTGACTAGCTACGGGCTGGACGACCGGGGTTCGATCCCCGACGGGGGCAGAGGATTTTTCCTCTAGCCTCTGCGTCCAGACCGGCTCTGAGGGCCATCTAGCTTCCTATCCGATGGGTACCGGGATCCTTTCCCCGAGTGTAAAGCACGGCCGGGGTGTGATGCTGACCACTCATCCCCATCTAGTGCTGAGGTCAAGAAAGAGTAGGAGTTATACCTCCACTACCCCCAAACGACCTACATGGCGTGTAGTGGGACGGCTTTACTTACACTTTTTAGCTACATAAGCTACATAGCATCAAATGGAAATAAGATTGTGAATGATGAAGTGGGAGGGATGTGGCATATTTAACATATTATCCCAGAATCTGGCAGAAGGAACTGAGAAAAAACACCAGGGATAGCTAACCTCAAAGTATAGAACTGAATCCATATCCTTCTGAATATAAAGCAGGTTTGCTTTCTTTCACATATTCCCATTTCATTCACAATCATCCTAACACCCCACACAACTTATGCAGCTGAAGAAAACAATTAATAAACTAAAAACCAATCAAACAGAAATCATTTGGAGTCGATAATGGTACATTATTTTCTACTTTTTTCTTCAGCACATAACACAAATTTCTTGAGAAAACAATTAGGACAGCAGAAACAGTTTTCCTTGGCCACTCTCATCTATCAGATTTGTAATTTTAAGCCGCCATCTCCATAACATAAAAACTGTTATATACATTTAAATAACAATCATGTCAAATTCCTTTCCACCCAACAAAACAGCTCTTATGAAAAAACGTTTGAAAAATCAAAACAGAACTAAAGCTAGCATGTACTATTCTTTCAGATACTGTTCCATGGTTTCCTCGTCGTATACGAGACCTTGATAAGTTTGCAAATCAAATTCTGTCTTACGGATCTGAGCTTGATGCAGATCATCCAGGATTCACAGATCCTGTGTACAGATCCCGAAGAAAATACTTCGCAGATATTGCCTACAATTATAAGCAGTAAGTATATAACTAGTTACACACAAATACACATTTATAAGTACGTTAAGTAAACAATGAAATCAAATAAAGATAAAATTGCTCCCTTGTCTACACACATCACAGCTTAAAAGCATATATTGGGAACCCAAGACTATCCAACTGAAGATTTAAATATTTTTTTCTGGATCATAAAATGTGCAGTAGTTTTCAAAAATTCAGATCTGTCCAAAACCCATTCTGAAAGATATGAAGAAATATGTTCCTTTTCAGATTTCCCTCAATAATGACGTCTGTCAGCACTTCTTTCACATTCGGATTTTCAGTCAAAATCACCCATTCATCTACTTACTATGAAAACATAAATTAATTACAATTTTTCCACTTTTAAAATATTCCTTTCCATATTTAAATCACTTCTTGAAGTTGTCTAATAACTAAATAATTGATCACCTGTAATTGCTTCCCATTCTTCTTTAAATATTTTGATTAAAAACAAAACCCTGTCACCACAAATTTGTGTAACTTCATATATTTGTCATTTCCCCCCAATTTCACTATAGATTAAGGTCAATTTCAGCCTTTTCCTCTTGGAACACAGCACTGGTTCAATAAAATGCTTATTGTGGCCTCCATCTGTTTCAAGCATTGAAACAGATGTGAAAGGCAACACGAGCTGAAACAGTACAGTAACTATGCTGTGGACTGGACAACGAGCCTTCAATTCCTGGCAGGGACAGTCTTTTCTCTTTGCCGCCACGACCAGACTGGCTCTGTGGCTGCCCAGTCTCCTGTCCAATGGGTACTCAGGGCTCTTCCCTGAGGTAAAATGGCTGTGGCCTGAAGCTGACCATTAACCTCCAAATAGTATTAAGGTTAAGAATGTATGGAGCTATAGCTTCTCTCTCCACACAAGTTCATCGTGAGGTGCTTAATTAAAATTAAACACTATAAACAAACTTAACCGTTTACTTTTAACAGCACACTCTAAATAGATGATGGCGATGATTTGGGAACAAGCAGTCTGTCAGCCTCCATAGGGTCTACACAGAAAATTAGTTTATAAGTTGTACAATAATGTACTACCCATATTTAAGAATCAGTGAAGCACTTCAGACTTAATAAACTTGCTTTATGACTTTCCTCCTTATATTTTGTATTACTTTTTGATGTGAAATACCATGTTGTTTTATCTGTGAACAGTGGGCAACCCCTACCGCAGGTTGACTACACAGAGGAAGAGGTAGCAACATGGGGATCAGTATTCCGAGAGCTCACAAAACTCTACCCTACTCATGCCTGTAAGGAATACAACCATGTGTTCCCCCTGCTTATAGAAAACTGTGGCTACCGAGAAGATAACATCCCCCAGCTAGAGGAAGTGTCAAACTTCCTCAAAGGTACAAGATCCACTTATAATTTAAACCTGTGGCATATGAGTTCTTTTACTTCTGTGGTGATTTTAATTTGTTTATTCCCCCAAATATCTTTCTCACATCCATTTCCATGTTTCATCAAAGATATTACAGTAAAACAACACACTTTCATGCATACACAGAGAGTCACTAAGTTTCTTATAATGCAAAATGTGTCTAAAAAAATCAGCAATTTTAAAAATCTACAGTGCATACAGATTAACGTAAGTTGAAAATTAAGGTTTACATGATATCCCACTCCAGAAACTTCAACATCAATAATGTCCTTCCACAATCAACAATCACGTTTTCTCAGCTCAGAAATTCTCTAAACAAGAAATAACAACACACAACAACCCAAAAGTCTCATTAAGTCACATGCACATAAAAGTCTCAGTTTCAAGACCAAGGTCTTCAAAGATATCACAAAGGATAACAAATATAATTAACACCAATTTAAGAAAAATTTGCCATATGAGTGGAAAAAATAGAATGTCATTTTAAATACTAGTAAATTTTAAATATAGAAGGGAAAGAAATATATTTTGCTGTCCATGGCATTAAAACACAGATGCCTAATATTATTAAAATATTATTGTATTTTTATCACAGCTACCCATCAAAAAAGTGGTATTCTGGAAGCCACAACAAGACGTGACTAAGGTATAACTTAAGCCAAAGACAACAATGGCCACACAAAATTAGATGGTCTCAATGCCAAGAAATCAACAGAGGCTTTAAAATAATAACTTCCATAACATCTCATACTCCATACTAAAAAATTCTCAAAAGGAGACATGATGTGTACCTTACACCTCCCATAACTTCCCAATCAAATTTCTGATTACACTTTCTATTTGCTGTGAGAGTATAGTACTCACCATTTCTTGCAGACTGTACAGGATTCACACTGCGCCCAGTGGCAGGACTTCTGTCATCCCGGGACTTCCTGGCAGGACTGGCATTCCGTGTGTTCCACTCCACACAGTACATCCGCCACTCAAGTTGTCCACTATACACTCCAGAACCTGATGTGTGTCATGAGTTGCTTGGGCATGCTCCATTGTTTGCTGACCCTGCATTTGCACAGTTTTCACAAGAGATTGGACTGGCTTCCCTTGGAGCACCTGATGAATATATAGAGAAACTTGCCACGGTTAGTAACACTGCAATAAATCCGAGATTGTATGTTACATACTGTGACATTTTGGGTGTATCTTTACAATACAGTGACAAGTTATTTATGACTGTTTTGCATGCAACAGTGTTCTACTGTACCTTCACGGTCAAGTTGTTGAAGCAAAGTTATAACATGACTGTCTTTGACTTCAGTTCCCTAAATAACATTTGATAAAGAAGGTAAATTGTGAACGTCTTATGCAATTTTTTGCAGTCTCTTATTATTTCTTATTAAAACTCACTCTTGCAAAACTATCCGCAACACTGATATCACATTGTAAACAGTAAAAAATTATTTTCCTTGTAATTAGTGGCTGTCTTCTGAATGCAGTAAAATGCAACCTTGTCTCTTGCATTACTTTTCCGTCGAGGTCTGTATGTCACACTAATATAGGTATTGGACAATACGTGACCTTTGTTCTATTGCGCGGGTGACGCGCTCCATTTGAATATACTGGGAGGTGGCTTAAGTACAGCAACGCAATATTTGGATGTACCAGTCGTTAGATTACGTACGAGACTTCAGTTTAAATTTCGAGACATTGACTTTCGCCTATAGTTATATTACTTTACGCTAGGTTAGGTATACGATTTATTATGGTTACTTACGCGAGGCTGGGATTGTAGAATAGTATAACAAAACTCATATCATCCTGTCTCAGTTTCAGGAAATTAAAATTTTGTTGTTTTCAAATTTACATTTCTTCTAAAACACGTAAGTAGCAACATGTCCCGGTAACATTTGTTTTCCTGCAGTGAGGCGGAACTCGCGACTTCAATGTCGCCACGTTGATTCAATTGTATTAATAGAATGGCGCTAGCAGTGTCATCCTTCGAAGTAACGGATCAGTTGACAAGCAAATGTTAGAACCCTTCTCCGCACAATTTTTGGTAACCCTTCCAAGAATGAGAAATTACAGTCGTCGTCGTTTTTTTTTTTTTCGTGGCGCGGTTTACAACTCTATTGAGTCGAAAATTTCGAGTTTATAGTTTCCATCTTCAATGCACTTTATACACTTCATCCTTCATTTAATTACATTACATTCTTTAGAAAAAGGAATATAATTAGTAATTTATCACAAAAAGAGCGCTTCAATAAGGTTTGTCGGGATGACCAAATTTTGCCTAAGAGTGATCTTCGGAAATTTTTGAGTTAGGGCTATTCACCAGCTAAAATTTCCTCTTGGTATTAAACCACGATAGAATTTCTCGCGTGCTAATTATTCGATATAGTTACAGAGGATAGAACATTGGTCATAATTATCTTGAAACATACCACCTTGTGTGTAACAGATTGACTGTGTCAGTCTACTGGGTAGTAATGTCTTGTGGACTTGTAGGTAGGGGAACAAAACTGCAATAACGTACTACTAGAATAAACAGCATCGACCTAAATTACCAACATCAAAATCTTTACCACAACGGGAACCCCAAATTTAATATATTTAAATGTAATTGTTACTACAGGTGTATCAACTTAATTTTGAAGCAATGATATCATAAGCACATTCGTCATGTTCTGATAATGTTCCTACTTTAATGGAAACTGCATCACAAAATGTTTCAAATAAAAGTTACAGATTATGAAATTATAGCAAAGCCTGAAATAGGCATAATGTAGGAAGTTAGAATGGCACAGATTGGGGTTGACATTTCAGAGACTAGACATTAAAAACATAATAAGGAAACAATCAAAAATCATAATAATGGCCACTCTATTGTGCAATTATAAACTTTATACAACTTAGAAGGTTTTCTCTGCCAACAGTGAAAGAATAAGATACTATTTAAACAAAACTGTATACAAAGATTAGCTATTTACAAATTTTAAAACTTTGCTTTTATTTGCAGAGAGGAAAGTACAGTTAAAAAATCTTGCTGAATTCATAAATAATACTATATAGAATGTCATTTAATATGCCAGGCAGTTGCTGGGTAAGCAAATATATGATATTAACAAAATGAACAAGTTACTAGTATTACTTACCTTGCATCCATATGGTAAAGCATAACACAGAATTTGCATAGGTAATTCACAAAACACATTCTCACTGACTTATGTTTAAAAAGGGGACACATGCCTGCATGTTGCACCACTCTTATCAATGTATTCACATACACTACACTTGCATGTATTTGCACCAGTCATTTGTTCTTGAAAGCATGTTTCTCTACTGCTGCCATCTGTAACTAATTATTGCAACTATGTGAGAAACAAGAATGAACAATTAGTGCAGAGTAACTATAACCTAACTCTGATACATGAAGTTACCTGTATTTCAGCTATCTTGCATCTAATCAAGAGGAAATAATGAAATGTAATATCCAATGCAATACCATATTTACAAATATGCTAAATGAGGTACAGCTTATAACCTCAAAAGTATATTATGTTTAAAGCCCTTAATTGCCTTTGTGGTTAGTTATTAATAGTTCACTGCATCCTTTGCCAGTGACTATACTCATTTAAAAAGTAACATTTGTTTACATTTTCCTTCATATTAAGATAGCTCTTTTTTAATGTCAAGAAGCCTTTCAAGCCTGATATACCCTAAATTTTACCCTGAATTTATGTGCATTAAAACTGTTTCGTTCTATTGCAGTGCTTCTGGTTTACAGTAGAGTTTGGTCTATGCAGACAGGATGGACAACTCAAAGCATTTGGAGCTGGTCTGCTCTCTTCATTTGGTGAGCTACAGTATAGTCTGAGTGGAAAACCTGAGCTGAGACCATTTGAACCTTTCAAAACAGCAGTTCAGCAGTATCCAATCACTGAATACCAGCCTGTGTACTTTGTAGCTGAGAGCTTTGAGGATTCCAAAGAGAAGATGATGTAAGCAAATTATTTGCTTTTCTATAATGCTTAAAAACTACAATACCTCTTAGTAATATGGCCAGAATAGTATAACTCACAATAAAGTGATCAGATACATTACTTAAGTTGGATTTGTGTATGAAATAATAACACCACCAGTATTTATTGTAGCAAAAATAAATATCTCACCCCACCAAAGTCAGGAAATGAAACCTGGTCATTCAGTAACTTTACTGGCAGAACTATCCTAGCTTATAGTCATGAAAATATGAACTTAAATATCTACAACAAATACAATATATTACATATTTTACTTTCAGAAAATATTCTCACAAAATCCCACGTCACTTTGGAGTCCGCTACAACCCCTATACCCAGAGCATTGAACTACTGGATTCTAAGCCTCAAATTGAAGGACTGGTGGAGAATATAAACCAAGAAATACAGATCTTGCTTGATGCTCTGCACAAATTGTGATGAGTTCATATGTGAAGTTGTGGAAACAACACAAACACATTACTTTTGGACAAGATTACAAACATCTTCTTTCATGCATTTTGACCCTTTCATGTTCACTTTGCAGATGTCTGCCATTAGAATATAGTGTGACTCATTATGGTGGATGTCTGCCTGTTGTGTTAAGAAAAATGTTCCATATCTCTCCAAGAAAGATAATGACAACAGTAAATTCCAATAATTTTTGGGTGTATTTTAAACTACCACCTAAAGCTGTGATCAATTTTCTTCAAAGCATTACTATGTGCAGCTAGAATTAATAATTTTGCCATTTATTTGTCTTGTGTAAAGCATTAAGGGGTAATTTCAACTGATAATATTCTTCGCTGTAAATAGTGAGAAACACCATACTGAGATGCAAATAACAACAATATGAACATTAAGGTGTTTACACATATCAATATTTTTATTTTATAATTGTGGAAAACTACTGACATAAAATGGTAAGGTGTTTAGTAAGAAACCTTTCAATAAAAATACGCATGACAAGAAATAGTTTATAGTCAGTTCGAAGAACGCTTTAAGGGACTATTTGTAGAGATATTTATGTTTCGTGTTATCTTGTACATTATTTGTAAATAAATACACTAGCTGTACTTTTGTTAGCAACAGATATCAATGATGTCTCCAAAACTTT